ATTCAAATGAGCAATATACAAATCTCAGCTTCTATGAAACATTAACAGGAAAAAGGCAAATTATTTCCAGTGAGTGGAACTTGTCCCTTTCTTGTTTTCTTCCAACATTAATCTCTATATCTCTGTTATTTTTCTCTATTTAGTTTGATTCCCAGCATGAACAATGATATAATTTATTTTGAGTTAACAACACGACTGCATGAATTATCTTCTCTGTCCATGACGCAGTTAGGGATGGCTTTCCAGGAATGGAAAATTGAACTTCCACCGTCTGTCCTTTTTGAAAAGGGCTTTCATTTAGATTTTTCCTCTTGAGGAATGTTTTTCATTGCGATTCTTGACACATTCCTACTTGATGTTTAATGAATAGAGAGGTTAGATACAGTAAAATTAACTTTCCTGATCTTCCTCTGTCTTTTTTTTTACTTGCAGTGTGCTGCCGCTGCTGACCGAATGCAGAGGAAACACTGAAAGCTGTTCTCCAAACCTCCCTGCAGCTTCAGGGGAGATTATCAGATGTGTACCCAGCACTCAAAACCCCTGGCCTGGCCGCGGGGATGGCAGCCTCTGCCCTGAACCTGAACGGCCTCGGAGTCATGAACAGGTCAGGATATGTTGTTAAGTGTACGTCACGTTTTTCTTGTTTGTTTGTAAGACTGCAGCATTTTTCTGGACAGGAAATGCATGCTTAAAACATGTTTGGTTGGTATGGTTTGTTGCAGCTAAGAAAGCTGTTAGACTAGACTGGTAAGATGACTTTTTAATACGTTACAGAACTATTTATGAAGTCATCCTGCTGCCCAACATGTTGATTTCCATGAAAACTTTGTCTAATCACTTGGAGGGATGCTTTAGAAGCTATGAATACATGTTGTAATGGATGTAATGATTGGTTTCTACTCAAATGACAGGTTACCTATGTAATTACTTTTCATCTTAATGTTTAAACGTGTTGTTTGTTACGAGTTTTTCACATATACAGTAGTGATCTTTTCATGTGGATTTGTTCTGTAAAGAAACAACAAAATGTAACACTCTTATTTCTATGATAGTTTAGCCTTTGCTTTTTTTAGATACACACAAACCAACCAACCCTCTCCCTCCTCTCCTCTCCTCTCCTCTCTGCAGCAGTAATCAGTTTCACACCCAGCCAGGCTCCTCGAGTACCACGTCTGCAGCTAGAACCAGTCCAGTGGGTCGACCTGTGCTGCCGGTTCCAGATCGGAGCACCTACTGTCAGTTACTGGGTGGTGGAGCACTTTACAGCCCGACCAGTCCTAAGGTAACTCAGTCGCCACATCCAACCTGAGAGAGCTAAATCTGAAAACACTATTACCTTGCAGATCATGGTAACATCAACAAAACCGTCTTTGTTAGTCTTTCCACAGTTCTAACAACCACCAACTCTAGTTTGGTTAAAGTAAATCCTAAATTCACCGACAGCAGTTTCAGTCCCTCTCCTCAGTTGTACACGCAGAGACTTATATGCTCTAACTCGCACACACATAAACAAATCGCAGACATGCTGGGATAACAACACAGGCAAAGGGAGTGTGAAGCCGTTCTCTGCTCAGGACACTATTACTCCACTATATCTTTACATAGCACACAGTTGTCTGCTGCTATATTAATGTTATAGATCTCATTTACGGTATGTAACCTTTATAGAAAATACTGAATTAACTGGAAAAATAAGGAGGAGTCAATAACGGAAGGTCATCATTGTAGCTGGTATATTAACATCAGTTCATATGAGTGAGGTATTTCTGAGTGCCCCTAATCCCGTCTTGTATGTCTCCATGTAGACAAGCCCTAGAACCCTGGGTCGAACCTTTGTCTTTCCCCCTTCGCTCTCCCCCAGCCCCACCCCTCGTGCTCGTTCCCCCTCCCCGCGAAGCCCGGAGCTCCTAGGAGTCAATGTGGGCCAGCGGGTCCGACGACTGAGCTCACCCGGCGGTGAGGAGAGAGGGGAAGGAGAAGGGCAGGAGGAGAGGGGAGGTGAGACGGGAGGAGGAGAGAAGCGAGAGGACAGGAGACGCCAGGCACAGCTGCTGCAGATACACAGAGAGCTGCAGAACGTCGAGGTGATTTTACATGTGCCTCCTCTTCTTTGTCTGTTTAACTGCGTCTCTGTCTTCCTCTGTGTCTTTTATGTCTCTCTCTCTTACTGGCTACATCGGTCTGTCTTGATCTAGGAATGCGGTCATTAAGAAATAGAGCAATGAGATAAGAGATAAGAGAGATTTTATTTGTCACATGTACTCAAACTCTGAAAGATTTACTGCTTTATTTAGATTTGTTGGGCTAGTCAGAACAGTGCCAGTAAGAACTGCTCTCCCTCAGGTGTGTTGGTGCCAAAGTGCAACAGTTACTCGGGCTTTAAGGGGCTGAGCAGAAAACAAGGAAAAGAGAGTAAACCACATAGGAAATCTGGAAAACTTTACTTACCATTCTGGGAAAGTCATAGAGGATGTTTCTCATTTTCCTATCCTGGCTGACTATTTGTACTTTTAAACTGTAATTAAACATGTATTAATTCAACTAAAGGGTTTAGTATCAATACAGATTATTTGGAATTTCAATTTGATAATCAGTATACAGTATAGTGCATTACAATACTGTAATACTTAAGCAGGGGTTTACATAAGCTGTTTATTAGTTACATTTTTGTTTCATATTTGATTTAATTTCATTTCATTTCATGTCTTCTTTGTATTTATTGGAAGCCAACCTACATTTGTTCTCAGATTGAAACTGCAGACAGTCACACATGGAATTTGTAGCTTGCCAACAGTTCATTTTTCAAGACAGTCTGTTTAATGCCAAAATGGGAAAACATGAGAAAAATGAGTCATGGCTAATTTATTTTTTATTTTCTTAATATTGGTAGTATATAATGGTGATATTTTCATTTTTTGTCATGTCAGTTTTACATCAGGTGAAGGTTTTTGGTGATACCAGTGCACCTGTGAAATGATAAGCAGCCTAAACCAAACATGAAAAAATGCATCAAAGTAAACGTCTCTACAGTTAGACCAAGGAAACCAAACTGTAGCTACGTTTAGACCTTTATTTTCTCTCTGTCTTTCAGGTCAGGGGAAAAGTTGGCATTTTTGAGGCCCACATTTCCGGAATTCGTGCCCAGGTGCTTAACAGTGAGCTCCAGCGCAGCCCTCGGTCTCCAAGACGATCAACAAGCGAAACCCCTTCGCATCCCAGCCAGCAAAACACAGTCCTTGAATGCCCAATGACCCACCCACACGAGAGTAAAGTTCCCCCTGTTGTCCAGAATGGAAGCGAGAGAGAAGAAGAAACAATGGGAGGAGAAAGGAGAGAAGGAGGGAAGGATGAAGGTGAGAAGGACAGCAGTGCTACTAAAACAAACACTGAGAACGAGACACTGATTGGTCAAAATGGCCGCCATTCAGAAGCAACAATGCAAACTCCCTGTTTAGACAGACCGTTTGTTGTTCTGGGTTCCCTTGAGACATTAAACCCTGATGCAACCACAGACAGAGAGAAAACAGAGGGAGAAAGACTGAGGAAAATGGAGGGAGAAAAAGGCGAAGGGGAGGTAGAAAACACACAAATGTGGGGAGACGAAAGAGAACGGACAGAGAGAGAAGTGAGAGGTGAGAAAGTGGACCGGTTGTGTCTTGAGATGCCGCTCCAGACAGAGGCAAACAGGTTGGAGGTTAACCCGGAAACCCCTGCTTGTCCTCGGGCACAAAGCAGTGAGAGCTCTCCTTCTTTGCTGGACATCACCAATCACACCTCAAACCACTCTGCCTCCATCCCTCCCTCCATCCCTGCAGTCATAATAACTGACCATGGTTTGGAAAGCCAGCCTCAAACTTTTGAAGGCCCTGGCTCAGACCAGGGACTATGCTGCACCCCTAGCCCCAGCTCTAGCCCTGTCCCTGGGTCAAACTCCTCCACCCACTCCCTCAGGAAGCTGTCGTCCTCCTCTGCCTCCTCGGCTGGTTTCTCCTCGTCTTGGGAAGAGTCGGAGGAGGACGTTTCCAGTGATACGGAGAAAGGAGAGCAGCTTCTCAACCCGGCACTCCTCAGTTCTAAACAGAAAGCGGTAAGTAGAGCCAAGTGAGAGTGTGAGTCTGTTAGAGTGTGCCTGTATCTACAGCCTGCTTGAGATTCAATAGACTTTTGTAGTTTTAAATGGCAATGACCTTTGGAAACTGCATTGGCTGGGATTTCCATATATCATCCACACAGGAAAGGCCAGAGAAATAGATGGATTATATGGGAAAGTCAAGGAAATGCTGTGTCCCTTCACAGCTTTGCTATGGCTCATGGAAGGCCAATGTTGGTTGGTTGGTAGGTTTTTTAATGTTTCTTTTAAGAACTGTCAGATAGATTGCCATGAAATTTTGTCCAGACATTCATAGTCCCCAGAAGATGAAGCCTACTGACTTTGGTAATCCCCAAATAATTTCATAAAGTGCTGACACGTTGAACTAAGATGGTGAACATGGTAAACATATACGAGCAAACATCAGTGTGTTAGCATTGTCATTGTGAACATACTGACATGCTAATGTTAACATTTAACTTAAATTTCATTCATTTATTCCATTATATCATAATTTTCATAAGTTTGATATTTAAATGTTTTTTAAAAAACAAAGCTTGTGCAGAACTGGTCTTGGTGTGAGTCTCTGTTAACAATTGCACCTCAAAATGTGTGTATGTCAGTGTTTGTGTATGTTGTGTGTGTTTGAATGTGCCTGTGCATGTTGCTGGGTGCTCCTGTGTCAAATTGGCCTGAGCTCTCTGCCTGAGTAATGGTTGACATTCACGGCAACAAAGCTAGCTCTGTGCCCCGACCTGTGTGTGTGTGTAGGTGTGTTTTTAGTGTGTGGGTAATGGGTGTGTGTGTGTGTGAGGGAGAGAGAGCACGGGTGATAGAAAGAGGGAAAGCAAGAGAATTTGCCAGTCACACACACTTAGTCTTTGCCTGCATTTGGACGGCATTCAAAGAGGAGGCTGAGGCCTGTTTGGGTTTGTGTGTGTGGGTGGGTGGGTGGATGTGTTTGTATTTGTAGCCAGGATAAGTTCACGAGGCCATCTCACTTCTGCTTTGAAACACGATTTAACGAAGGATTGTGTAACTGATTTTCTTATAAACAATGTACCAGTCCCAAAAACGGTCCCCTTTTTCAGGACTTCACATTGCAAAATCTTTGTTCTTTTTGGCGTTTGTGGCTTAAAGAGGAAAGTACTCACAATCAGTTGATCTACTATCTACTACGTGTCTACTTTTAAAAGCCAATGCAAGATTTATGAGACTTAGTATGTGTGATGGATGCCGTTTTCTTGCATATAGTTAATTGCATGACCTATCCTTAAACCAATGTCCCAGCTCTCCCACTTACATGCATTACAAACAATTTGTTTAAATGAATTTGCCTGGATGGATTTAAATAGTGCTTGTATTGCTCTTTGCATATTTCCGCTCATTTTGTTTTCCTTTATCCTGGCAAAGAAAGAGACAGAAGCTCCTGTCTGCGGCTGCAGCTGACTGATGGGCAGTTTTAGGTTTAAAGTTACTCGTAAAAGTCTGCTCTGTTGTAGCACAGAGGTGTCAGACTTGCAGGTGATTCATGTTCCTGTCATGTAGCCTGTCACAGTTCCCGTGGTTTAAGGAAACCTGGTGTATGTGTGCAAAAGGCAAACATGCAGATACACATAAAGCACGCTTGCTTGTGTGGGAGGTATGTAGGAAAGAGGAGAGGGAGACAGAGAGAAGAGGAGTGATACTGAGAAGGGAAGATAGAGAGAAGAACAGAGTGAGCTTGACACTAAGACTGTCAAAAAGAGACAAAGGAAAGAGAGCAAGAAAGGAAACATTGGACAATATTTACTGTATATTATCCATGTTGTCTTAAACTGACAGTAATGGAAATATATCTCCCCTTCTTACGGCTATTTCTTGCAAAAGGGACCTGACTGTATTTGTCATATAACAATGAACGTCAGACCCAGATTTAAAGATGTACCTGGAAATGCACAGATGTACCGTAGAAGTGTAGCTCCGGTACTGCTATATACACACTAAGGTTGCATAGAAAGATAGAAAATAAATGTGCATGGTGACAAATAAAAAAAGTATAAGACCAGTGCTTTCTGCAGAATACATTTATCAGTTATAGGTTTATATGTTCCATTAAGGAGCTCTAAACACAGTCAAACACATCTGCTTTGTTATGGTCATTAGCTTTGGGATTATATCAACTCATTTGTAACAGTGTATGCTTAACTGGTAGAGGCTGGAATCTGAACAGAGCCATATATAGACTCTGTTTGGCTGATCTTTTGACTGTTGGGCATCTCTCCAAGGTTAGAAGGCACATATGTGCTGTCAGTGTTTTCATACTTCTAATAAATTGGCAGCAAAAGGGCACCTGCAGTAGATTGGCATCTGTATTTTTCTTTCTTCGACATTTCTGTGGATGTTCTGTTGTTCCTGGAAGAATATGCCAACAGCAGAGTTATGAGGTGACACCCAGGTGTTAGCTTTACTGTGTAATTTACTTTTATCCGCTTGGCACCCATCAGAATATTTTAAAACTAAACAGCTGCAGATCAACCCTGAGGGGTCTTGCAATTGTAGGATCAATAAGGAATGTTAGGTTACAAAATGACCAAGTAGTATTAAAACTGAAGATGATGTGCAAATCACCAATAAACACCAAGACTCATGGGATTTATTTCTACTCACAATGCTTGACTTCTCGTATAAGTGTACTTGCTAATGAAATCGAATCACCTCATTTCATTAGTTTAACAATTAGGCAATCAACCAACTATCAGTCTCCAACTCATTTTGGATTTGGATGCTAAACATTTGCAGTTTGTTCTGCCTCTGAAATATGAAGATTCACTGCTCTTCACAATAAAATGAATGTCTCTGTGAATAGACTCTTGTACTGACAAAAACATGTGATTTGAAGTCATCACCTTGGGCTCTGGGTAACTATTAGTAGCTTTTTTTTTTTGACATTTTATAGTCTGAAATATCAGTTGGATTGATTGTTAGCTGCAACCCCGACGAACTGATTGTGAAACATAATGGGAGATGTGTTTGAACCTATGCAATGTACAGAAAACCCCAGCATCATGTTTCAGCTTGTCAACAAGACTGACGAAAGAAGCTAATGCTAGTGGAGCAGAACCTATAGTAGAGCGGAAGTGAGGCAGGACTTACGAATACTAAGTGATGCACAAGTTGTGTTGTTACTCATGCTGTTTGTACAGTAAAGCTTGGGTTGCATTACAATTTTGGACACACTTGGATTCCCCTGTGGTTCTTGAAAAGTTGCATCTGTTATGTAAACAGATGTGTCTTTTGGAATGAAGACTGCACCCATATCAACATTAAAACGCACACTCGAATATGCCTGCACTGACACGCCCTCTGTACACGCAACACTCTAGCAACTTCTAGTTGCACTTTGCAGAACAACCCAATACTCTATTCACACAGAAAACATTGTTTCCCTCACAAACACTGTAGCGTATGTCATACTGACTCACATCCCTTTTTCTATGACCCTTCGAAATGCAAACTGTCACACACTGACCCAAACATTAAACTGAAACCTCTGCTTGTTTGAACGTGAATCAAACCTTGTCTCCGAAACCAAAAATAGAGATTCTTTTTTTTTTTTTGCAGTGGACTGGACTCATTTTTATGTCCTGAACTGTAACTCAAGTGGGTCGACACAAAATATCAGCACGCACATTATACACACTCTGAGACACGCACACACACACTGTGTTTGTACTGCAGTGGAAAATCTTCACTACCACGGCGGCCGGTTGCCTAGCAGCCATGTGACGTCAAACCGAGTTTCCCTCTCACAGCTGTACGTGTGTGTGTGTGTGTGTGTGTGTGTGTGACAAGAGAGTCTAAGTGTATGGGTGTGTGTCCATTTCGTGTGTGTGTGTGTGGGTGTGTGTGTGTGTTACAGAGTGCCTACTTGATTTACTGTGAGAGGGGAAACACCGGTCAGTTCTTTATTTGGTGTTTCTGTGGCAGGTTTCTGGTAGCAAGGTTCAGCACATGCATGTGCGCGTTCGAGTTGCCCCGGCCTTGGAGGAGTCAGGTCGACCCGCTGTTACTTAAGCTGACATTTTGGTTTGACAGAGTATTTAGTATTGGATCCAGTGTGAAGAAGAAGTGAAGTGTGGTCTCACATAGTTTCATTACTGTCAGAGACACACTGGGGAAACCCTGCTGGATGTGATTTAAGAAACAAGTGTCTGTGCAGAAAAAGGAATAGATATAGGATGGCTCCTAGACTGGAGAGCCACAGGTTGCACTTCTAAATGTAACAGCTATATTAGCATTAATAGAAGTTGTGTAGATGTTTTGGTTAAGTGCTCTATTGATATGAACAGACTTTTATGGATTATTCTGCAAGGTTTTGAAGGAACACCCAGAAGATCTTCTGTTTGTTTGTTGGGTGTTTGGAGCCGAGGCTAGATCTAAAGTCAAATGTGCCCTGTAATGTTTTATTGACCTCAATTTGGTCTTACTTATTGGACCACAGTATTTTAACATAACATAACTGAACAGCCACATCACAAACATCTCAAACTTTTTCTTTCCTTTAAGGTGTCCCTTGTTCTCACCTTTATGTAGCTGTCAATTTTGCAAAGCTGTTTTTCCATCAGCCTGCCTTGGTTGCTAAGAGATTTATCATGCACTGTCTAAGCATCTACTGCACGCCATTTGGCCTGCATCACACTCTTTGCAGTTTAATTTTGTCCGTGTGTGTGTGTGTGTGTGTGTGTGTGTGTGTGTCTCACAGTCTAAACTTTGCAGACTCAGACAGTTGCAATATTTGTATCTGCAAGGGGACCTTGTGGTGAGCGATATCGGGCTTGTTGTTTCCTCAGTGCTTCTCTGTTGAAAACATCAGCATGCATCAGTGTTTCCCCTGCTTCTTCACATTACACATTTGTAACCCAGAGTTACCCTTTGCCCCACGTTTTTTTTTACCATTCTCACCACTCTCTTTTCAATCCTCCCTGCATGCAAGTGAGTGACATCTGGTTGCCCTG